AAACGATTGATATTTCACTTTAGCGTAAAAAAATTTCAATTTCTTTTCCACATGTTTGTTATTCATGCTTATAATTATTCGTCTTGGACTACATATACATATTTGTATTTTTTGTCCCTTGCGCCTTTTTTCATTAAAGCTCATGCTTTATTTGCGCTCTCGTCTTAAAGCCCAATGGACCTTAGAGCTTTTTCGCGCCTTTTGCCTTTGATAACATTGATTTGCCACGAGTTTTTGGTAATTATAATCCAAATCCATGCTACTTCATTAGCTTAGATTTGGTCAAAGTCCTCTTTTTTCGAAAAGAAACTTATAGGGTTGATCTCAAATGTCTCAGGTAAGAAGTGGTTTTGGAATGGATTATAATTACTAAAAACTTGTGGGTAAATATTAAAACTCCCAAAATGCCTGTGTGTTGTTCTGCACAAACTCAGGTTGTTTAGTTCAAACAATCTAAGTGAATTTGAGTGGCAGATTCAGATTTCTGAAAAAAACTGAAGGAGGAAAAAAATATCAAAAGAAGTATCTTTGATATCTGGTATGGCATACTAATGCTAGTGACATCCTTTTCATGTTTTCCCCAGTTTAATAATGTTTTCAAAGGCTCATTTCAGGCGCTTAAGCCCTGAAGCTCAAAGAAGCTCAGAGTAGGCGCTTCACACCACTTAGGCTACCTTGAGTATAGGCGAGGCATTAAGGCGTGCGCCTAATTGTTATCTTGAATAGAATGATTCTAAACAATAAATATGATTAGCAAAAAGATATTAATTTTTAAGGAAATCATTATCGGCCATTCTTGTTCGTAGTGGTAGAGAGAATCTTCTTCATGCCACTAGGTCAAGAGTTTGAGCCTGGTATCTTGGCAAACAAAAAGTTGTTAAGGAAATCATTAAGAATGAAGTTGTTACTTTTTTCTTACATTACATATACATTTTTATTTTTTTCTTTGTTGTGCCTTTTCTAGCTAAAGCCCACACTTTAATTGCGCTTAAAGCCTTTTGATAAACTTGGAGCATTTTTTAACGCTTTTTGCCTTTGACAATGAATGCCCAGTTATAGGTGGCTGGAAGGACATATAAAGCAAGTCTAAGTCGAGGAAATCATATTTTCTGTTGTTTATTCTCCAGTTCATTTCTTGTTTCTTGCTTTGATGCTGAAGACTCTCCTCTTCTACTCTTTTTCTGTCCTTTCTTTCTCTGTCCTACTTTGCATCATTATGGTCTTGGAAATTGCTTAGTGCTAGTTATATATTATATCTGCTATCTTTCGTATTATGCTAACAGAGTTTTGCCGTGAGCGGCATCTTAATAAATTTGGACATAAATGCTACATCCTATTCCAAAAAGTGTACTCAACCCTCATACCCGTTCTAACAGTCTTCTTTGCCTATATATTCGTTCAGGATCAGAAGAAATGGAGTTCTTCTTCAGGACACAGTATGAGGAGACATCTGGTTGCTCCTTCAGTGGGCAGGACATTCAAAGATGCCCATTCTTGAGGAACATCAATAAACCGACAAACTTTTCTTTCTTCTCTTCCCTGAACTTCCCCACACCTGTAAGTTGTGATTTCTTATTGTTGGTGCTTCAAGTCATATGGTTATCCATTTGCTGTAGTACTTTTTAAACATAAACATCCTAGTATTTTTATTATTTGCTTTTGCTTATGCTGTTGTTGCTTCTAATGCTTGTGTGTCTCACGCTTAATCTCTATTACCTTTCAGGTAAAGGGGGGTAAAGGTCCAATTTTTGAAGATGGCCCCAACTTCGATATGGCATTTAAAGTCTTCCATGGAAAAGATGGTGTTGTCCCACTTTCTGGAAGATCTCAACCTTCCAATGACAACACGGAAGCAGAGTCTGCTCCTCAATTTCATCCGTTAGCGACAAAAGCTGCCACCATAAGTTTGTCAGCATTTGGACCAGGAGGTCCTTTTAGTTTTGATTCTTTCTCTCGGAAATGGAATTCACAGAAGAAGAAGCCTGAGTCATCCAAAAAGAAAAAACCTTCTTCTCAGGTTTGTTTGCTGGAATTAACAAGGATATGTGGTATTGAAGAAGCCAAGAATGTTATATTGTAGTTAAAAGCAGCAGTTATTATCATGATTCTAAATTCCTGTTATTGACTATATACTTGAAGACTGAAATGTTCGAAAAATGAATTGGTTAGTTTGCCTGTAAATGGGATTTCTGAAATTTATTCTGTCTTGTGGAGTCCAAATTGTGATGTTCAAAAGATGAAAGGAAATGAAAAGAATGGTTAGATGATAAAACTATTGCTACTAGAGATAGCACTGAATATTCTCGATCTATTGATACTTAAACATGAAAGTTATTCACTTTCTGTATCTTAATTGTCTTGTCAAATGATATTGTCATTCTTTTTAATTGTTCATATTATGTTGACTGGCTTTTACTGGTTTAGTTACTCTGTTGAACCCTTTTGTTTTTCACTGAGGTTCTATCTATCATATGTCAGAAGGAGATGGCACGAAACATTGTAATCTCCTTGGAAACTGATAAGTCAACATTATTTTCTCTTTGATTCTTTAAATTATCATTATAGAGTACTTGCACTTGTTGATTGTTTTGGGTGGTATATTTGTTTTATCTTTGGGAGTATCAATGTTCAAATCTAATGCTTGGTGTGAAATGGATTTCTTTAGGATAAAATGATGACCTTAAAACAGTGTACGTAGAGTTGCACAGCATTGGGAAAAAGAAAATTGTCTGTCTGTATGGCCCTTTTGGATTATTTTCTAATCAACAGGAGGGACTTCATTAAATTAACTGTGGGTTGTCAACTATAAGTCTATAATGTTGGATTGACATTAACTAAATGGTTGTCATAGAAAATGTGTATAGTAAGTTGTTGAATTTGATAAACTCTTCTTGAATATCACGTCACAATTTATTTTGATAGGTCTTCTTGTTTCTGAAAGTGAAATTCAATGGTATATAATTTTTTCAAAGAAATTGACGAGTATTCTCCTTGGTGAAGTGCTACTTTATCACATTCTTATCTGCAAAAATGGCATCTTATAAACTTCGGCTTATCTTTAATTCATCATTTTTTTGTTCTTCAGAACAATTCCTCTAAGCACGAGGCAATGGGGAACGAGTGGTTGGAGACAGGGAACTGTCCTATCGCCAAATCTTATAGAGCTGTGAGCGGTGTCCTCCCACTTGTGGCAACAGCATTTCAGCTGCCTCCTGGAATGAAGCTCAAATGCCCACCTGCAATTGTTGCAGCCAGGGCTGCCCTTGCCAGGACTGCCTTTGTGAAGACTCTGCGGCCACAACCACTGTCTTCAAAGATGCTTGTTATTGGAGCCTTGGGTATGGCAGCCAATATTCCACTAGGCATATGGAGAGAGCACACTGAGAAGTTCTCACCATCTTGGTTTGCTGCTGTCCATGCTGCTGTTCCTTTTATAGCTATGCTGAGGAAGTCGGTTGTGATGCCCAAAACAGCTATGGCATTAACCATTGCTGCTTCAATCTTGGGACAGGTCATTGGCTCAAGAGCAGAGCGACTTCGAATGAAAGCAAAAGCCGAGAGTCTTAAATTGGTAGCGCAGACTGGCTCAGATGGGATTATTGCAGGTCTCAACTCGATCCAGGTCAATAGTATGCCCGACCGGTGCTCATGTGGCAAACAGGGGATGATTAAAGACCAATCCTCGAATGAACCCGGCAACCCTATCACTTCATCTGCCAGTCTTTGTTTCTAAAGGAGGTTTATAGAACTGGTAAATAAGCAGTAGAACTATAAGCTGCATATAAAAAGTGGCAGAGACCAAGGGATTTAACTGTAATATGCATTATTACATATTTAGTTAGGCCCTCTATGTAAAGGAGAAATATTAGCATGACCTATTTGGTCAGGTGTTGCAGAAGAATCCACAAACACAATGTACTATTGTATGGAACCACTATAATATATTTACCAATCATATTCCCACTGCTCTCCAGTTGATCTCCATTGGGTTCTTTATTGTGTTGAATGTAAATTACCATGTTGTTCACTAAAGTGGTAAGCGTGGGTGGAGAAATAGAAGGAGCACTTTGCTATGAAGAAGTGAAGACTTTCTGTCATACTTCAGGAACTACCATACAAGTTGTGTGAAGAAAGGAGCTCATCTGCAGTCTAATATCCAAGTCCTTTCAGCAGATTGGTGGCATACACGTTTCAGTTTGTCTTTTATCGCGTGACAACTAGCAACTTATTAACTAGAATATGTTGTCAACAAATCTCTCTGTAAATTAAGCTTCTCAAGACTACAACATTTTCTCATCTAACTTCAATAAATACATTATAAGTTAAAAGTTTAAGTGGATCATTCTGCCATAGACGGTGTCCAACTTAAATAAGAAACTTAGCATAGGCAAATGTGACATTGACCTCTTTACTTCCTTCAAAATTTCAATTTCCAATAGTATCTTCCTCTATACTACTTTTTGGTTTTTCTCTTTGCTACATATCAACTAATCGAGCTACCTATATAATTGTTCGGTTGCCTAAATTCGATTTTGGTGGTTAATTTGACTAATTTTATAATGATAACCCATCAAAATTCAAAAAATTAGAACATGCATTATCGAAGTAGATGAAAAATATCATCAAATTATTTTGAAGTCAAATATAAAATTCGGCTTTCAAATTCAATTTATGATAATTAACCCGGCAAAATACAAAGGTCGGTTGGCCGAAACTAATTACATTTGCTAGTCAAAAAGTAAGTGTGATATATATATATATATATATATTATTTTTGGGAGCAGCTAAAAATATATATTTCTCTAATTAATCTAAGGATGGAGGGAATGTTTAGTCGTGGGGATGGAATAAAAGAAACTAGTTTCAACAAACAAAAGGTTATCAAGATTTGGGCCAACGTTGGACCTTAAAAGTAATTGGGTCGCTTAGACAGCCCAAAATAAAAGGCCCAAAACAATAAAGTCAGACAAGTGAAAATTCCATTTGCCCATCAAATTAAACCCCAAGCACCTTCTCAGGCTAAAAGGAACACCAAGTTTTGGCAAACTTGAGTATCCCTCTCTCTTTTTTTTCCTATCTAATCTAATAGTTTTTCTGATTTGAAATATGTTTGGGAAGTTAATGACTTTTTTTCAATTTTATTTATGCTGTATCGAGATATTTAGAATTTAGGGTTAGGCCCCATTTGATTTGAGTGTTTTTGAGATTTTTTTCTCACAGAAAAATCACCTTAATTTGGATTTATTGGAACGAGTTTTTTTCTTGATTCTTGATAGTTTTAGGCTTGTTTTTTTTTTTTAATTTACTTTATATTCATAACTTTCTTGGCTTACTTTTTCTGCTCTCTCTTAGAAAAACAAGTGAAAGTACAAACCTCTTTGTTCTCTAGGTATATAACAACATTCTTCGACTTGTTCTTTCTTTTCTTCTTCTTCGTAAGCGAAATTTTAGTTCTTGAAACTTGCATTCCAGCATAGAAGAAAGAAATTAAAGAAAGGTAGAGAAACCAAAAGGGTCGCTAAATGCTTGAAGAAACAGAGAAGTTTATGTTTATCTTAGTTTGGTGTAAAAATCTAATCTTTTTTTCTATTTTTGGTGATGAAATGGAACTGGGTTTGTAATGTGGTACCCGATTTTATTATAACTGGATCATCGAATTTTTCTTTGTGGTTTTTTTCCTTCTAATAGATGCATTGGGTTTTGGAGGTACTAATTTTTTCTTTTTTGATGATATCAATGCTAAAAAAAATGCATTGGTGTTTATTTGGGTCTGCATGTGGTTGAAGATAAAATCTAAGTGTTGGATTGACTTGTTTTTGGTTTTCGTTTCAGAAAGATGTGTTTTTTTTTTACTTTGCAGGTAAATTTAGCTCAGCATTTTTACAACTGTGATTGAATTTTTATCTTAACTAAGTCTTATGTTTGTCTTTTTTTTTAAAAAAAAAGTTTCTTGTTAATGGGTTTTCTTCTTTTGTTAATGGGTTTTAACTTTCATTTCAAAGTGTTATGTTTTTTATTTATCTTTTTGTGACTATGGTTGAGGTTGGATAGTGGTTTCCCCAGTAAATTTCATTAATGAGTGGTTATATTAGTGTTGTGAAAGTCAGAATTTTGAAATTCTCTTAACTGATAAAAAAAGTCAAAAATTTGAAATAAATAGATGCCTTTTAAGTTGTGGGACTAGTTGGTATTTGGCATCTTTTAGTCTCTTGTTTTTGGATATTAACCAGCTTATGTTAATTGCAAATGGATGTTGGCGCATGCATTTGTGTAAATATCTGTGATATTTTATATTGATGTTAAAGCCCTTTTTGTTTTGCTATTTTTTAAATTGTGGTCGCCGAGGGTCTATCGGAAACAACTTCTCTGACCTTTCCGGGTAGGGGTAGGGCTGCGAACATCTTACCCTCCCAAACCCCACTTGTGAGAATTTACTGGGTTTGTTGTCGTTGTTGTCTATATTCATCTAATTAATGGATTTATTTTCACATCTGAATGCAAAGCAGGAGTACTTTACTGAAGCTAAAAATAGGTTGGAAAAGTTATCAGAAACTCATTCATCAGTGGAGAATTCTCAGAGGTGATAATGTAAGCTCATTAATCACTGTTTCCCTAGCTGATTGACCTCTAATACCCTAGGGATTTTTCTAATTATTGCCTTTTTTTTGTTTTGTTTCCAATGCTCAGGTCATAACTATCAGTGGAAAAGATAAAGGCGAGACTGGTACCATTAAACGTGTCATACGTTCCCAAAACCGTGTAATCATTGAGGGCAAAAACCTGGTTAGCATTTTTCTTGGCACATGCTTTATATCCTTTAAACGTGTCTTGTGGTAATTTACCCTGTTTGTCAAACATATTTTGTCATAATTTAGTTCTTTTTCACTTTTTTTTTTTTTGCATTGTTTCCAAAATCCTGTTTTTATCTGCTTACTTGTTATTATGTATTAAGGAGTCCTATTGTCGAATTGATACTAATGAGTGAGAGAAGATTTAACGTCAATTTGAGAATCTTAACTCATAAAGTTCACTTAATTCCAACTTTGAAGTTGCAACTTGCAAACAGATTTCAAGTCTTACAACTGTTTTTGTTTCTCCTCTTCTGTGTCTCGTCATCTTGGATAGTTACGCTTATCTTTGGTTATATTTTTTCAATGCAAGGGTTATGCAAGAGGTTTTTCAATGCTTATGCTTATCTTCGAGTTATTTTATTGCATGTAAATGAAATGTGGAACCATAAACTGAATTCGAGTATTTTTTGGATTCTTTATTTTATTTTTTAATTTTATTAAGTTCAACTAATTTCATTTATACAGTACAACGTATATATCAAATAAATAATTTAGATGTGAAAAATTGTCCTTAAAAATATTGAATGAATTAATCATAAATTATGAGATTTAAAAAAAAAAATTGCCTTTGAAAGAAGATATTAATGGTAGAGAAAATGAAAAGAGATTGTCTCTCAAGTTTGAAGACATTTCTATCTAATCTTACACCATCTTCAGAAATTTTGGAAAGTACAATCTACAATGAAAATTATGATGCTCTTAATTCCCTTTTTGTCTTTTGTTGGTATAATGATTAAAATATTACTTAGATCACCTATTCATGTTCCATTCCCCCACCATGAGTACCTGATTTTAGCTTAGTACTTCGGAAGTCTGAGAACCTGGTTGTTTTGGCTTGAATCGAGAATTTTGACAGTTTGACCTTTGGGTCATCTAAAGCTTCACTGGTTGTCTTCTGGGAATGATTTAACATTATGAGCTTCTTAGTAAGTTTCCAAGTATAAAATGGCTGTCTCAAAAATAAAATCCATGCTTAATGATCAAAAAAATAGTGCAAGAGGCTAGTTTAGTATGTTTAGTCGCCCGCACAATGTAAAAAGGGCCAAGGAGGATCCTATCCTAAAGTAGAAGGAGGCGGAGTAGGAGCTATAATTGATTGTTGAGTCCCTAGTGTTGTATAGCATCTATTTTAGTTTATGAATATATCTACAGTATCAGGATATTCAAAATTAAGTATGTGCCATATTTTATGGTGAAGCCATCATAACCATGTTTCTCTTACGTTCGGATATATGCTCAAAGTGGAGGGGTTGTGTATTTAGAACTGAGGACTTATTTGATGAACTAGAAAGTTTGTTGTTAGAGTTTCCTTTGCGTTGCCTTTCCAAATCTTGGCTCTTACATGAATGTTTTCTTTCTAATAGTTGTGGTCCAATATATGGTGTCTTGTGAATTTACATAGAAAATTGACAAGTTGTTCGGACAATCTGATAGTTGTTTTTTTATGGTATGCGTCACACCTCTTTTTTTTCTACACCCCGTAAAGGGTATAAGGGAGTTTTTCCAATTAAAGGACAATCGAAACGGGATTATTTACATTAAATTCAGAGTCGCCACTTGGGATAATTTATAGTGTCCCAAGTCACCGGTTAGAATCCCGAATCGAGGAAAATATTGACTCTGTATTACAGTCCGCGAGTCAGNTCAGAAATCCAGGTAAGGAATTCTGTTAATCCGGGAGAAGGTGTTAGGCATTCCCGAATTCCGTGGTTCTAGCGC